GAAGAGTATTTCCCAACCTTGCAAATTTCCAGCAGCGTGAACTTCAACTCCCAGAATTCTCAGCAATGGTCATTCTGGCTGTGGAATTCTGGGAGCTGAAATTCCCAAGGTTGGAAAATACTGTTCTAGAAGCTCTTGGCTCTTGTCTCCTTCTGTGGGGAGTGGAAGTGTTCCAGATAAATAGACTTGTCTGACTGAATCTAAGTATTCTGGCCCAGTGCTGAAAAGCCTCCAGAGGAAATTGAATCAAGAAGGGAAAAAGATATAGATGAACCAAGGATTATTTTAAAATTCTTTTTAGAGATGCTCTTGCTCAATTATGAATGCCTTATTTTTGCTCTGAATTGTCAGTCCCCCTGTCTTTGCTCAGGATGTTTGCTAGCTTTGTTATGCAGATCTCAGCCAAAGTTGGTACTATTCTCTCAACTTCTTTCTTCACTGCCTTTATTTAAAGAAAATGTTTTGTTTCTAGTAACTTGGTTAGAAGGGGAAAGCTAGGGTCATTTATTTCAAAGCTTATTACTTACTGGAGGAGGGAGATGCCCTGTTTTGTTCAAGATGTAACTATTTTACCTGAGGGAATAATCAAACCCAGACATGTGGAAGAGGGTGGAGAGTTGACATTCCAGAGAGGCATCTGGCAAGTTGCGTTGGGTGTTTTTCGAAAGGTTTCCCCCAACCCTTCTCTTTGCTACAATGGCGTAGTTCACAATGAAATATCAAATTTGAACAGTATTTCTTTGCGAAGATGGATTGTGCCTGGTGGTTTATGCAAAAATTAAAAAATGGTGTTTTTCTTTTCTTTTTTGTTGGTATATGGAAGACTTTTGTTGTTATTACAGAAAATGTTACAAGGCTTTTCTATACATTCTGATAAGACAGTAAATAGAATCAGTATCTTGACCAATCTGATGAAGGAAAAATAGATATTATTTTAAAGAGACAAATTCAGGGGAAAAGTTGGTTGTTTTTTTTTTTTTTTTTTTTTTGCATTCAAGTCATGAGATAGTATTTGAATGAAGCAGACTCTTTTAAAAATGTGGTATGTATTGGCATGGAAATGCTTAAATGCAACAGAAGACTTCAAAAACAGCCTTTCTGGATGATGAGCAGAGAAGCTGTCAGCAGGTGACCATTTCTGTGGTGAGGTTGGTGGAGTGTAAGCCTTTTGATGTTCCTCCTCTTACAACTTGCTTTCTTGCATGTTGGATAAATCAACATCTAGCTGACCTTACATGATCCCCAAAAGCTAAGCAGTGCTGGACCTTATTCCAAGGAAGGTGGAAATCCTCTAAGGAATGCCAGAAAAAGAGACTACACTGGGAAGGAAGGAAGGAAGGAAGGAAGGAAGGAAGGAAGGAAGGAAGGAATCTCTCAAAAGATGTTTGCTGCTGTTAAAACTAATTCCTGGATGTGTGTGTATAATATGTTGGAACTTTAATCCTCTTACTAAATTATGATCAATGTATTAATTCTGACATATTTTTGGTATCTTCTTGTTTATTTCACAAAAGTCCCATTGGAGCTCATGTTAGTCTCTCTCTCTCTCTCTCTCTCTCTCTCTCTCTCTCTCTCTCTCTCATCTTTTTTCTCCCTCTGCATTTCCTAATTGGAAGAGTGCAGGACATAATAATTTAAGTCAGACTGTTATTTACTGATAGGAAAACATGTTGAAATGGTAATAGCAGTTTGATGAGGAGGTAATGTGTTCCCTTCCCTGGAAGTATTTAAGTGGAGTTTAGACAAGTATCTCTTGAGGATGCTTTGATTTGGATTCTTGCACATAGGAGGGGGGTTGAGCTCATCTTAGGAATCCATGAAGTGAGTCTTTGCGTATTGTTCCAGCACGTACAAAATACATGTTACAGTGCAACTAATGGTTACAAATAGGAGTGAAGGAGCTCACACATATATATCCCCTTGTTAACCATTTTATATGAATGAGGCTTGCCAACAGTCCAGGTCTTTTGTTTCAGTTTCTTAGAGTGAGAACAGGCCAGACAGAGGTAGTTTATCCAGATTTTCTTATGTCATCTGTGTGACTGAAGCAATGCATGTTGTGAGGCATGTATCTCTTGTACCATATTGGGAGAGTTTAAGTAACTTCTGAATGAAGCTCCTTATAACAATGGCGAGTTTTGCGGAAGGAAAGGAACAAGTTTGCAGGCGAGTTTGGAAGTTCTGGGAAACGTGAGAGGTCCCTCAAATTCTGCCCTTATTTCTGCAGTAACTACAGAATGATAAACTTCTTGGATACAAACAGATAATCTGAATGGTTTATATCTATGTTTACACTAATTTTCAGAACTTTTGACTAATTCTGAAACTATACTTAGCAAATATATATATTTAAATTGATTTTCAAGAGCAGGCTTTAAAATAATATAGAATGGTGAATTTAGGTTAAACTGGCCAATTTAGGTTCTAATCATGTTCCAAGTATGATTTCATTAGATATGAAAAAAGAGTGGTGTCTCAATATTCTGCTCTTATTTCTGCAGCAGTTATACAATGACAATTATTATTATAATTATTAATAATAATTGTTATCCATTAATATTGGATATCAAAATAATCTGATCTGATGATGAACAACATCCTGGCTATTTTTTTGTACTTCCTGCAAACATTTGGCAGCTACCCCAGCTCACTCCAACGATGCTGGATAAACCTATCTTTTCTGTTTCCTCAAATGAATTTGACTGCATTTCATTCAAATTAATTCCATTAATTAATTCCATTAATTCCATTCCACTTTCCATTGTTTTTAGCAGCATATGCATCTAGCATGTCCTCACTTACTATCTGACACAATTAATTATATAACTAGGGATAAAGCAGGGAATAACAACTCATTGCCTGATAATTGTGCTGTTTCACAGAAACACCCTAGATTTTTTTTTTTTGAAAGGCGGGGGGCGGATTGTCTTAACTGTATACAACTATCAAAGATATCTTCCAGCAAAGATATTGCCTGGTCTAAATCAGAGGTGGGCAACCTGAATGCTACGAATGGTTTATTAGATTTTCTTTTATATGTTGCAATGGTGAAATTTGACTGCAAGGCATTCAATACAGACAATGTAATGTCCAAATGATTTTTTTTCTGGGGTAACCAAATAAAACCAGTGTATTAAAGTTGAAATAGGTTTGAAATGTCTACAACACAAGCACACATATAGACACAAAGAAAAAAAAATGAAACTGGAAATTCTGCCACAACTTTCCAATCGTATCATAACATAAAATTCCTCTGATTAAAAACTGTACCCTTTGGTCATAAAAAATTGTCTGCCTGTGCTCTAAAGAAGAATAGAATTAGCCTGATTGATCAGATGTTTTTTCAACAAATCCAGAAGTAAATACTTATTAAATCAATTGCTTAGTACTTACTATATGCCATGGCGGTTATGAAATAGGCTAGAAATCTTTGATTAAAATGTCTCTTCTGTCACCAAATTACCAGATCGTGTTCATGCTACTACAGTACTTTTTCATCCAACTCACTGCATAACACTCCCCATTTTACAAATTTGGGAAAAATATTTTTACGGAATTCGTATAAAAATTATTAAGATCGTAATATTTGAAAGCCTTTATAAAATAAAGTGCCATATTTATGGTTAATATAGTTATTATTTGTAGGATCAGAGTAGACTCATAATTAGGAAATAAGACTAGACCAGTTTATAGGTAATCTGGATTATTTTAATCTACATTTAGACTCATTTATAGAATGGTTAACCAATTCTGAAACAATATGCAGCAAATATATATTTTAAAATTTAAGCTGTATACCAGGCTTTAAAATAATGTAGAATGGCAAACTTAGGTTAAACTGGCCAATTTAATCTTCAGTCATGTTCCTGGAGTATGGTTTTATTATTAGATATGAAGCATGATAATTGTGGAGTATTGTGGTTGATTTAATGTTACTAATAACCTGGAGGAATCCATTTGTGAGAAATTTCTTTCTAAGAAACTGCTAAGGGAAGCCATGTTTAATTACATGAATGAGATTTGACTGGATATTATCCTTAAATGTAAACTTAAATAGTTAAGCAAAACAGAAATTCACATTAATATCAAAGATGACAAATATGAACAATAAAATAGAAAAGGATACTCAAACTGCAACTTAAGGGTCACAAGATACCCTCTCAAAGCCTTTGAAACTTCCCCCAAAGTATTCCCAGAAAAATATTTTGCTAAGTTGCAGTTTTAATGTGAAAATGGGAACAAGGAAATTATTAACAAGGAACAACCAACTACATGAATTTAACAAGCTAATGTTAGGGAATTAAAGTTTAATTTTTGGCCTAGTGCCATTCACTATTTTATTCTACCCCAGCACCTCATTTTAGGTGCTTTCTTCAGCTAAAAATGTATCCCTCCCAGTGTTCAAAATTTCTATTTTTCCTTTTAATGAAATTGTAGAAACTTAAACCACAGAAAAATAGATAACTGTGTACTGTTAGCACTGTATGTTTTCATTATACAGTTTAATCCTACATATGTTTATTCAGAAGTAAACTATTCATCTTTAAGGAATTTAATTCTAAGTACCGTAAGTGATCAAAGCATTGCAGCTTTAAATGAAATACCAAGTTATAAAATCATGCATACTGCATAGCATATACTGATAAAGAAGTATGAATCTGTTGAATTTTGATAACAATCTCTGCTCTAGAAAAGCAAACTTTTTAAAAGTTAAACTTGAATTTAAAAGCCATTAACCTAGTCAAGTGAGTCATTATAAACAAAGCTCAGTTGCGTCTCCAAATATATTTTAGCATTTAAGAAAATTGTTGTTCTCAAGTGAATTGTTAAATGGATAATGCTTGATAAAAAGGTTTAAAATAAGATTACAAGTTATTATATTAAGAATATATTCTTTTGGGTGCAAACTGATTCAGTTTAAATAAAAACTTAACTCACCAATTTTAATAATGATGAATCAAATGTGAAAACTAGTAGCTTTTATTGATAATACAACTATAGATCTGTTATAAAATTACATGGAACCGTAATAGTGCACATGAAATATTTTTTTCTTTAAGAAAATAATTTATCTGTTATAATCACAACACATTGTTCTCTTAATTACTGTAAGTATATTTTCTTGCAATGAATTGGCTGTCTATAAATGATGGATCCACCGATGCAACTTTAGCAGCTATAAATGAATGGATGCAGTTTAAAACTGCTGTCAAATCCTGAAATTCTAGTTCCTGAAAGGAAAATAAGAAAAACAGAAAAGGTGAAACAAAAAGCATCAATAATATTTTTTCCTACAGATTATTACGCTTTCTAGTTTAACAAAAGATGGCTTTCTTTAATATACACTGCTCAAAAAAATAAAGGGAACACTTAAACAACACAATGTAACTCCAAGTAAATCACACTTCTGTGAAATCAAATTGTCCACTTAGGTAGCAACACTGATTGACTATCAATTTCACATGCTGTTGTGCAAATGGAATAGACAACAGGTGGAAAGCATAGGCAGTTAGCAAGACATCCCCAATAAAGGAGTGGTTCTGCAGGTGGTGACCACAGACCACTTCTCAGTTCCTATGCTTTCTGGCTGATGGTTTGGTCACTTTTGAATGCTGGCAATGCTTTCACTCTAGTGATAGCATGAGACGGAGTCTACAACCCACACAAGTGGCTCAGGTAGTGCAGGCCATCCAGGATGGCACATCAATGCAAGCTGTGGCAAGAAGGTTTGCTGTGTTTGTCAGCGTAGTGTCCAGAGCATGGAGGCGCTACCAAGAGACAGGCCAGTACATCAGGAGACGTGGAGGAGGCCGTAGGAGGGCAACAACCCAGCATCAGGACCGCTACCTCCGCCTTTGTGCAAGGAGGGACAGGAGGAGCACTGCCAGAGCCCTGCAAAATGACCTCCAGCGGGCCAAAAATGTGCATGTGGCTGCTCAAACAGTCAGAAACAGACCCCATGAGGGTGGTATGAGGGCCTGACATCCACAGGTGGGGGTTGTGCTTACAGCCCAACACCGTGCAGGACGTTTGGCATTTGCCAGAGAACATCAAGATTGGCAAATTCGCCACTGGCGCCCTGTGCTCTTCACAGATGAAAGCAGGTTCACACTGAGCACATGTGACAGACGTGACAGGGTCTGGAGATGCCGTGGAGAATGTTCTGCTGCCTGCAAAATCCTCCAGCATAACTGGTTTGACAGTGGGTCAGTAATGGTGTGGGGTGGCATTTCTTTAGGGGGCTGCACAGCCCTCCATGTGCTCACCTGAGGTAGCCTGATTGCCATTAGGTACCGAGATGAGATCCTCAGACTCCTTGTGAGACCATATGCTGGTGCGGTTGGCCCTGGGTTCCTCCTAATGCAAGACAATGCTAGACCTCATGTGGCTGGAGTGTGTCAGCAGTTCCTGCAAGATGAAGGCATTGATGCTATGGACTGGCCCGCCCGTTCCCCAGACCTGAATCCAATTGAGCACATCTGGGACATCATGTCTCACTCCATCCAGCAACACCACGTTGCACCACAGACTGTCCAGGAGTTGGGGGATGCTTTAGTCCAGGTGTGGGAGGAGATCCCTCAGGAGACCATCCACCACCTCATCAGGAGCATGCCCAGGCATTGTAGGGAGGTCATACAGGCACGTGGAGGCCACACACACTACTGAGCCTCATTTTGACTTGTTTTAAGGACATTACATCAAAGTTGGATCAGCCTGTAGTGTTTTTTTCCACTTTAATTTTGAGTGTAACTCCAAATCCAGACCTCCATGGGTTGCTAAATTTGATTTCCATTGATAATTTTTGTGTGATTTTGTTGTCAGCACATTCAACTATGTAATGAACACAGTATTTAATAAGAATATTTCATTCATTCAGATCTAGGGTGTCTTATTTTTGTGTTCCCTTTATTTTTTTGAGCAGTGTATATCTTCTCACTTGAAAATGCCATGTCAGTATTTTAATGCTCAAGGTAATCGATCTGATGTAGTGGGGACAATATGAGTAGAATTTAATTTGCCCTGCCGCTGTGGTTTGAACTTACCAATTATGAGTCCACGTGCAAAAGATTCTGAGAAAGGAACACACAAACACACAAATGCACACAGACTTTAAATTCTGCACTTTGAATATCTTGTTGAGAAATGCTCAGTATATTATTATACTATGCTAAGCTCCTTCTCTGTTTAACTGTGTGAATAAAGGAAGGAAAAACGTTTGTTGGAGACATGGAGCTAAAGAAGGAATATCACCTTATATCACAAGTGCTGCCACTAAATATCTCCCAAAGAAACATCTGAAATGAAACATCTGAAATGAAGAAATGTTATTCAAATTTTCCACTGGTTTATATATATATCTAAAAGTCAAAATGCATTCTGATATAATTAGCAATATTTGGAACATTGGTGGCTATCATCAGATTTTGCTCAAAGCCATGTTTTAGATATGGTGAAGGTTCCTCTGAGATGATACAACTGAACAGTTTCAAAAGTAGCCAGACAGAGTTTTAATGAGGCTTTATTCATTCTTTGGAAGATTTTTTTCTAAGCCCTTTGTTTCCATTTTCTAAAATAACTCTTGTCTTACTAGAAGTCACTGTGGACTTCTTGGGACAAAATCAGAGGTGGTATTCAGCAGGTTCTGACCAGTTCTGGAGAACCGGAAGCAGAAATTTTGAGTAGTTGAGTGAACCGGCAAATACTAGCTCTGACTGGAGATTTTACAGTATCCTTCCCCTGCCACGCCCACCAAGTCACACCACTCCCACCAAGCCATGCCCACAGAACCTGTAGTAAAAAAAAATTGAATCCCACTACTGGACAAAATCTTAGTTTTATTTCATTGCTTTAATAATTTTCCCAATATTGTTGGCATGTTATGAATTTGATGAAGAATCCTCATTATGTTCTGAGGAGCAAATTACTGAAATATGGACTGAATGCCTAAGCTGAATCCAAGGTGATTTAAAAGTCATCCTTAAAAGTTGTGCATCAATGGTTCCTCATCAAACTAGACTGAGCTATTAAGATGGTTCCGGAAGGTTTAGTTCTCATCCCAATGCTCTTAAAATAGTTACTTACTTAAGTTTCCTTTTAAGTCAACAAGGTCCATTAATTGTTGGACTGCAGTCTAAACTGAAATCTCACTGCAAAATAGCCCTATTCATACATGCTTGGGAATATTGGAAAGCTATGCTTCCCACAAAACAGACATGGAACCGTGCTGATCAAAATAAAAGCAGAGAATAGACCTCTCAACCCACTTATGGACCAGTCTATTTGAAATAGCCCAGGTCTGTACAGTGGCCTTACTTGTTAAAAGAAAAAAATATGTTTCAACTGGAAGAGTTTTCTTTTTAACAAAATCCCCAAATGGAGATGAATTTCTTTTCTCCAACTTTTTTAATTCTCCTCCCTGACTACCAAGTACTAGAAGAACACAACCAGAGACAAGAAAATGTTTTTGGTTACCATAAAATAGCACTTCTCCCCTATGAGAGCCAGCTTCCTGAAAAACATTCCCTTTCTCCCCAATATTGCCATCCTGTCAAGTCCTTTGGTTTATTTGTTTGTCCTAATCTAAGAGAGTCATTTGTCTGAAGCTGAACTGAGAGTCCACAGTCTGTTTTTTGTTCAACAGGATCAGCCTACCAAGGTCTTCTCACTGGGATATTGATTTCTCCCCCTATGATTTTACAACTTCACTCAAAGGTAGCATAATGTTCAAGAGTTATGCTTTGTAAAATATTTCTTCCTTTGGGCATAGTTTCTGCCATTTAATGGATTTTCTTTTTTCGCAGGAATCATAAATATTATCAAATCTGTTGTAATAAAAGACTATTAAAGGTTATTTCCAAGGGAAATAGAAGCCTAGGGATGTTTCCAGGTTCTAAGAGAAGCTGGGAACCTTTTGAGGTTTTTTTTTTTTTTGGGGGGGGGGGTATGCTCTCTATATGGCTGGAAGAAGACATAAGAAACAAGTTTTGATTGAAGGTTCTCCTTTGTCTACTTTGTTCCTACAGTCTTACAACTTAAATGACCCATTAAAATGGGGGAACAAAGATTACAAGAGCATCTGCTTTGTTCTTCTGACATTTGCTAGTTTGTGTACTCAAGGGGAATGAAGTTCACATTGCTTGATTTCATTATGGGTTTCTCATTATTGGTTGCACTTTGCTATCCAGCAACTGCAAACCCATCACAAACCTGGCCATTGTGACAGTACAGACTCCATTAATAATAAATATTCAAGTTATCCACCTTACTTTTCCTCCCATTCTAGTAGTTTTTGAATCCAAAAACAAATATGAAAATTAGAAAACTCTGCCCATCACACCACTTAATCAACTTTTTCTTTGTTCTCCTGGCATCAACATAAAGTTACTGTACCTATTCATGCAACCAGAGAAAATCTTAAATTACTTAGGAAAAAGTGAACATTTGTATAAATTTCAATAGGAAAAACTAGTTTGTGAAGTGGATTATGAATACACCAATATACCAGTTAGGTACGTTGGTAAATTGTAAAGCAGTTGAACCAAATATTCACCGGCATATCTTGTTTACTTAAAGATCGAAGGTCCATAGACCATAGGCTGACTCTATGTACGAAAAATAAAAAATAAAAATGTGGCCTGTGGAAAATTTAAATTACTTTTTTTGCAGGCCAGCAAGCCAATCAACTATCTCAAATGTTGATTTAAAAAAGACTGGACCAGAAGAACAGAATGGCAATGGAGTGGAAAGGCAGGATCACTAGGAAGAAAAGCTATGAAATCTCATGGCTTCCTCCCAACACCGGCTCCACTTAATATCACTAAGATGGGGAATGAGGGGATTTATACGTGTGCAAGTGTAAATGTAAGAGTGTGTCATTTATGTGTAAATAAGTACATGTTCCCAGACTATCAAGTGATGCGACCATCTGTTCTGAAATCATCCAACACCATTGAAGATAGAATAATAATGAGAAGTTATAGTGGACAGAAAATTTATGCTTATATGCATTTTGAATCATGTGAATCATATTTACTTCTTTAGAAAGGGATTTTTTTTTGCAGTATAAAGGAACACAAACAAATGAAAAGCAACTGTGAGTACAGTGGGTGAATTTGATAAATAGAAGTAATGTGATTAGGCAGAAAATCATACATAATTGGTTTCTTTAAACAATTGTTACTTATCCACCAACTTTAATCTTTGACTAAATAATGTGCATCCATAAAAAGAAATTGAAATGTCTGTCACATCAATAACTCAGCTCAATACAATAAGATATGATAAATACGAGAACAATACTGATTGCTTATTGGTAATCCACATTGTGTGGAAATAAAGAGAAATCATGCTATAGATTACCTCTGCAATATGACTTAGAAACCTAGATTACCTTGATATATTTTGTATTTCTATGATATATATTCTATATGCAGCAAAGTATTGTACTGACCTTTGTCTCAATCTGTTTTGTTTCAGTATTCTGAAAAAGCAGTTTAACTCGAGTTTTTCCATCATCTGATGACCCCTTGAGCTGAGAAAATTTAAATCTCCAGAGAATCTTCTGCAAGGAAATGGAAAATTCTTAACATTTTGCCCATTGGCTAAAGTTGTAGCTTTAGTTGGAAGAACTGTGATCTTTGCATATGGACACTAATTATGAATCAAAAATAGAAAAGATCATTCTTGCAAAAATGTCAACTCTATGGCTTCTCAAAAATAATTATTTTGATGATGGGTTATGATCATGCACTTACTGTAGTCAAGTAATGTACTAGAGCCTGGGAAGGCCATTTGGACCAGTCTGCCGTACCCAGGAATGTCTTTCTGAGTAATCAAAAGCCCCTTTTTCAAGCCAGCAAGGTATTTAAATCCATTAACATCCCACATCCCCAAAAGAGCTAACATCAGCATATCTTCATGATCTCCCAACATCTCAAAGGCATGTATACATAATTTCCTAAATAGCTTTGATTGTTCCCCTTGTAGAGAAGCAGCCACAGAACCCACAACCCATTTTGTGTTACGCTGCAGTTTCTCTAATGATGCCAGAGCACACTTCATAACTCCTTATTTGATGATGTACCCAGACAATTATGATTAAATTTATGCAGTTACTCCTACTAGCCCAGTATGTTTCTATTTCCTTGAATGTGGTAAATACTGTTTGCAACATATGAAAGGTCTTGCTGATTATTTATTTTTGAAATGCACAAGCTCTACAGCTCTGGATAGCTTACTACAAACCAACCAACCAACCAACCAAATAAATAAACCATTCAAATGAAAATAAGATTAAAACATTTAATAATCTGGAACTCAAAACGATATCCCTCTTATAGACAGAAACTCTAGTCATCTTAGTTATAATTATATGCTTATATTTTATCAGAAACTGCTCAATTAATTTGTTGATTTTCATAATTTTAGTCAATGAGCATAATAAAGACCTCCTACAACATGTTGGTATTCACCTGCACTATAGAACAGCTTCCCTGCTTATATACATATCTGGCCTCAGTTTAATTTGAATAAGACCAATGGCTATGCTTTGTATATTCTCAGGAATAATTTGCTATTAATATTTACATGGCATATGTAATAAATTAAGAAGTTTGACATATTTATTTTTATAGTATTAAATAAAGTATACGTTCATAGTAGGTCCATTACTTTTGTACTTTTCCTTCTATTTTAATGGATTTCTAGATTTGAAGTTCTGTTCTTTATATTCATGGAAGAATATGAGCTTTCTTGCTATGATTCAGCATTTCATAGATTTGTCTAATAAATTGATATAGTCAGAGCAGTATTTTATTGATCAAATGTACTGTTCTATCATTAAACATTGAGAAAGGTATTAAAGAAGTAATAATTTATTTGGAAATGAAAGTGAATTGGCTAATTTGATTTAAGTCAAGAGTTCTCCCTTTAAATTAAATTTGCTGTTTTTAAATCCAATGCATTGTTTAAATATAGCTTACTTGAAATATCCAGTAATGTTTCCCATAGCTTTTTAAATGTAGTATTATACATTTATTATATTTCAAATGATTTTTTCACTATATTCATGTTAGAAAACAGCCAGTCTGATTTATTGCTCATACATTTTAGAACTTTCTTCACTATGCAATTGTTCAATATCACATTCTTTCTAGAGATGCATTTTAATCAATATATTGAGCTGTTCTGATGAGTGGTGGAAATTTTGAAGGCACATGGGAAGAACTGGAAAGAAGATTGTTTCCCCCTCTTATTAATATGCTTTCTCTGTGAAAAACAAGCATGGATCAGGGAGACATTTCCCCAATTCTCAAGGTGAGTCAGAGGAGCAGTAGGGCCATAGATTCTGAAGAACTAAATTGTTCCCAATCTATCCATAGAGTGCCCTTCTCTTTACTCAATTAAAGCAGAGCTCAGTTTCTAATCTTCCACCCTTTGAAATATAAAAATTGGAATTTTTCCCACTCCATAAATTGATATTCATATTTCCTAAACTAATAGCACAACATATTTTATATTTTATTTTCTGATACTACTTACCTTTGTTTTATTGTCAAAACATGTGAATCCCACAGTAAAATCTAAGGTGAAGCACAGACTTTCTCCTTGCCAGGAACACGTAAAAGTTTTAGACTAGAGAAGGGATAAAATATGTATTTGTTTAGTGATTTAAAGTAAAACATTGATTATAAACTGTAAGAGCTGTAATCTTTTACACTTAGAAGTTTAGTAACAATACATTGCAGTTGAATAGGAGTCAGAATCCATGTAAAATCACAGTCAAAAAGGGAGTGATATGCTACATCTGAAACATTTTTAATATCTGAGATTATTCGCACACTTTTTGACTTGGGGGTTATTTGATTTTTCACATACTAGCTGGATATCCATGCTTCACAATGAAACTTTGTGATCAGGCTATGCAGGAGCCTGGGCTTTCCTTCTTTCCTCCTTTCCCTTCCCTTCCTCCTTTCCTTTCCTCCTTTCCTTTCCATTTATCCATTATCTATCTATCTATCTATCTATCTATCTATCTATCTATCTATCTAT